AGCTCACTAGGGATGACGAGTTCATCTTTATCGAGCTTCTCCAAGCTCGTTGATTGAGTTCATCTTTGTAAGAGCCTCTCTAGGCTTTGTGGGGGGTGGTGAGTATTTTTGTGAGGTCTCTCTAGGCTTGTGAGTATTTCTATGCTAACCTCTCCAGGTTGGTGAGTATTTCTGTGTCGGCCTCTCTAGGCCTATGAGTATTTCTATGTCGGCCTCTCCAAGCCTATGAGTATTTATGTGCTGACCTCTTCAAGCCTATGAGCATTTGTGTGTTGACCCTTCCAGGCCTATGAGTATTCTTGTGTCGGCCTTTCCAGGCCTATGAGTATTTTTTGCTAGGCTCTCTAAAACTATAAGTATTCTTGTGCTAGCCTCTCCATTCCTATGAGTATTTTTGTGTCGGCTTCTCCAAGCCTATCAATATTTATGTGTCGACCTCTCTAGGCCCATGAGTATGCTTGTGCCAGCCTCTCCAAGCCAATGAGTATTCTTGTGCCGGCTTCTCCAAGCCTATGAGTATTCTTGTGCCGGCTTCTCCAAGCCTATGAGTATTCTTGTGTTGGCCTCTCCAAGCCTATGATTTGTTCAACCGGTTGCCTCTTCAACTTAGTTTCTATGAGGAATTGCTGCTATAGCTCTTGGGCGGATGATCATCCTCTTGAGAAGGATGACGCAAACTTTGTTGCATTCTTTAGTTGAGTATTATTTCACTGAAGCCTCTTTAGGCTTGATCTATACAATTTGTACCCTAGGGAGTTCAAAATTGAGAATTATTTATCATAACCTCTTTAGGCTTAATATGAACATTTCTAGGGATATTGGAAATCTTAGCCATTTTGTGTTGGATCTTAGTTATCCAGTAGCCTTCCGACCTTTTTGTTAGCTCTTCAGCCTTCTTCTCTCAAGGAAGATACAAGGACTTAGATTTCAGGATCTTTAAATATCCTTTAGCCCTTTGGCTGTTCTTCTTTGAACGTCTTCTTAATTGAAGGTTTCTAAACCTATTTTTCTTTTAACTTTGGCTTTTTATTTTTTAAAAGCTATAGCCTTTTATTTGCTATTTATTCCTTTTTTACCTTTTTCTTATCTATTTTTTTTTTGGCTTTTTTTGTATTTGCACAAAAATAAAGAAGAAAATGCAAAAGGAAATCATAAACATGAAATTACAAAGGGAAATTTTAACAAAAAAAGCAGGAAACAACAAAAGAAAGGCTTAATCATCAGCCGAAGAAAGAGGTCCTAGTGGGGCGGAAAAATACTACTACATCCACCTAAACATCTCAACTTGTCGACATTACACCTTTCCAAGTTAGTTGTTCACATGCTGGGTGAACACACCAAACTATGTGCTAAATTGTGCTTGAGCATCTTCAATCCCCTAGAGGCGCATTTGGTTGGCCATGTGCATCTGCTTCATGCCCTACTAGAGGCCCTAAGTTTCTTCTTGTTGTTGTGGCTCATCAAGAAGGTTAAAGTCATCCATCATGAGGTACGGAGAAGGAGTCATTAGAATGTAGCCATCTTCCACCCTTTGGATCACCCTCATGTTGAGCAAGGTGGAGACATTAATGGGCCTAGGGAGGTACCCACCAGCATCTTTCATCGTAGAGCATCCCAAATATCTAGCCAATGGGGGATCAAGGATCCTATTGAGATATGCCCCATGCGAGCCATAATCCCTCGCTAATAGCCAAAGTCCTTGACATGCTTAAGGAAGAAACTCCCAGGGTTGCACCTTTATCCCATGTGCATGCAGTAAAGGGGAAATAGATCCCTTTCGGACACAAAGCCAATGTTCTCATGACATCCGTGTATGGATCCCGAGATGAGTTGGTGAATGACTCGCAATGTTGGGTCCTTCAACTTTGAAGCCTTCGCAGTCCTAGGCATGTGGGCTTGTTCTGTCAGCTCAACCCATATGGTCTCCTCCTTCAGATTATCTAACTTCTCACATAGAGCAGACTAATACTCTACAGCGTTGACTTGGTCCCTCGTGACAAAGTTGGTGTTTCTTTTAAAATCTCTTTGTCCAAGGCCTTAGTCGGGTGAAATACGAAGGCCTCAAGTGCTTCCATCTTTCTTTGGGCCACCTCTATCAAAATGGCCCAGCTTAGCTATTAAGTTCTTTGACACTTTTGGGTGCCTTGACTGGAGGATAACCATGATCCATGATGGCAAACACAATCAAGAAATCAACAAAAGCAAGAAAGTATAAAGAAGATTCAAGCTGGAGTAATGAGGATCGAAGCCTCTATTTAGAGATTTTCCAACGAGACTAGCACGACCATTCCAGAATTGGGAATGTTTTTTCTGCTCTACAAAATCCTAGAATGCCCATTCTGGTGGGAAGGGTTGTTCCAAGGTGACCATTACAGTTGGCATGCCTATTCTGGTCTACTTTTAATTTTTTTTTTAAATGAACCTATTCCCTTATACATACCTAATGCCAAATGCATGCAATGCAATGGCCTTAAACTGAGCTTATAATGTAGGTTAGTTTTTACTTTCAAGAAAATTAATCCATGTGCATTTTTATTTTTGTGAATCTTAGCCTTTACCGTGCTAGATTTTCCTCTACAAGGTATTTGTGTTTGAACCTGAGTTTTGTATATTCGGCCATCCTTTGCTTGTACAGGATATGGTCTCTATCTTAACTTGTGGACCAAATATACCTAGACTCTTTTCTAGGACATTCCAACCCCTAATTGTAGGTAATCATTATGCAATTTCCATGTATCTCTCAACATTGTCCTAATGCCATTTCAAGTCAAGAGAAAAGAATGGAAAGGGGATATTGAATTTTTCAAAAGATTATTCAAAAAGTTTTATCAAAATTGTTTTTAAAAGAATAGGTGGCCAAGGTTGGTTGGTGTTTAAGCTTATGAGCAAGCATACCCAAAATAGAAATGTCATTTTTCGCATTTGCTTTAATGTTTGCAATTAGTGATGACTTAGGGATTTGTATTTGTTCTTTAACCAGTAACTGGCTGAGTCGCTTTTCAATTTTCAACTTAAGATACTGCATTTGCCTTTTTAAGTTATCCTAACTTTTCCCTGGGTTACCCCTTTGTGGGCTCCCTAGTGGACCTTTATCTTGACCCTAACTTTTGCCCAGCCCTTTTAGTGGGTTTCTTGGTGAGTCTTACCCCAATTTTTGCATAGCCCCTTTAATGGGTTTCCTGCCGAGTATTATGTCCTTTTTTGTCCTACCTAGGGCTTTGTCTTGGTGGGCTTTTTTTCTTCTTCTTTTTTCTTTTTTTCCTCCAGCATATGTGGATTAGTCACATTTTTTCTTTGAAGGAAAACATTCTTGTATTTATTCCTTTTTTTTTTTTAAGATTTTTCAACGTGAAACTTTTTCATAAGTCATGCCAAAACTTTTGATTTTTACATGTTATATTAATGTTAATGCATTTTTAAGCCAACGTTTCTAATGATGCTTCTATTTTATTTATGCTTGCTCATTTCAGGTTTATTAGCATGGTCTAGAATAGACATTGAATAGAGAGAAAAGAAATGAATAATAGAAAGATATATGACATTAAAATAATGTTTTGATTTACATATGCCCCTTTAATGTTTCTCAAAGGCCTAGGCATGCCCCGAGTTCATGATTCCCAGGGAGAGGAAGTTGAAGTGCCCCTTAGAGGGGTTTCGTACACTTGACCACAAAAGCTAATCCTTTCGACATTTGGATACCATCTCTTCTAAATATTTGATCTAAAGGGAGAGTTCTCAAATTCTCATCCCTTGTAGATTTTGTTGGTTCATGTGCTAAGCCCTGGCGCCTTGGATTGTCTTGAAAATTGGGTAGCTCAGTGACCACTTGTGCATTCTTAGCAGGCCCTTGTCCTAGTTAGTATCCTTTCTTGATTATCATTTGAGCTACCAATTTTCCATTGTTGGAAATCTTTTCCACATTGGCAATTTCCAATGGTAAGCCCAAAGGGCATAACCAACCATTCATATAATCCAGACTTGGTCTCAAAAGCGGCTTTCCATTCATCACCTTCTTTAATTCTTATTTTATTATACTTGCTTTTAAGATCAATCTTAGAAAATATGATGGCTCCATGAAAGTCATCTAGCATGTCATCATGCCTAGGGATAGGATGCCAATATTTCACAGTGATGTTGTTGATGGATCTACTATCACAACACATTCTCCACTTGCCATATTTCTTGGGAACCAACAACACTGGAACAACACAAGGACTTAAGCTCTTACAAACCCAGCCCTTCTCCAATAACTCTTGGACTTGAGACTCTATTTCTTTAGTCTCTTGGGGGTTTGTCCTATAAGCTGGCTTATTAGGTAGGCTAGCTCTAGGGACCAAGTCAATTTGATGTTCTATCCCTCTAACAGGAGGGAGGCCCATAGGACCTTCGAGAGAAAATAGATCATCAAATTCCTTTAAAATATTTTTGACCCCCTTAAGTAGAGTTTCACTTTCAACAATTGTGGCAGTGCAAGTGAGAGTCCCTCTAGACAGAAGAATAAAGGAGGGTTGTTCTATGATAGACTATGGCCAAGGCCAAAGAATCCAAGAGGTGATACATTGAAAGAACCAAGAGGAATGGGATGATGGACCATGGGCCAAGGGCCCAATCACTAGAGCTATGGCCACCTAGAAGACTAGTGGACACCTTGAAGATCAGTGGGCTTTCTAAAGCCCAAGGTACTCTTCAATTTGGACCACTCTATCATGAAGAGAAGGCATAGTCACATTTCAACTTTAATCATGCATCAAACCCGTTTCACCGCATTTTTTGTCATCCCTATCATAATGAATTATATTAATTTTTTGTTACGTGAAGAATTATATTACTTCTATTGCTATTGAAATATAGCTTCTTTCAAGTTCCAACTACCGTCACTAGCCTACGGTAGGGACACACAAACCTACAAGCACAAAAAAATATAAACAAATTATGTTTACACAAATTCACACGCTTGTTACGTAATTTGGTTTTATTTTAACTATTTTCTTAAATAATTTAATACGAAAAATATATTAGCAAAGAATAAATAAATACATAAATATTATTACCTGGATTTCAATGAGCACATTTGAAAAAGCATAGGCAAAGGCAATGTCACCAATAGCTTGAAACATTCTCCAAATCTTTTCTGTTCCAGAAACATCCACCCCAACTTGTACCCCTGTTAAGGATGTCCGCACGTGTCCCCCACCTTCAACCATTTTGTTTTTTTTTTTTTTTTTTTATCTCATTAGTTTCACATTAATTAATGTAAAATTAAAATCTAGTATGTCCTAATTACTTTTTTAATTTAAGGTTTGTCCTAGTGTAAATAAAATGAGTAAAAAATTAATCACATATGCTTAATTACCTGCAACTTTGGCTAGGGAGAGTCCAAGGCCAATAGAAGAATAAGCAAAAGACATAACAGCTGCAACGATGGAGAGCCAAGAGAGTTTATGGAAGTTTGGTATTTGACTTAGAACAATTTGAATGCAGGCAAAAACGATCATGAAGGGGTAGTTGTTTATGTTGCACTTGTCTTGATGACCATGTTTGTGAAAACAGTTCGACCTCTTCACCGCCCTATTGATTTTCATCGAATGTGGAAAAATAATTAAGGAAATATATATACTTGCATAATATGTCAAAGTCCACACACACTTAGGTCAAAAGTTCATGGGGAAACTTACACCATACTAATTGATGCAGTTATAGTGTAGCCAATGGTTACACCAACCAGATTTATATACTGAGCCAATCCACACAGCTGAAATTTTCTGCCTCCTATGGATACAAGATAACAAATTAAATTAAAGGGGCATCAAACTTATATATGTTTCATTAAGCAGGTGTAGTTTTTTTACATTTAATATAAGTATTAATTAATGAGTTTTGATAATAAAATTCATGTAAACCTTGCTTCTTAATAAAGTACTATATTACAAAACCATGTCACGGGGAAATAGTATTCCTAGTCATGTGACATGTCTCTCCAAGAACCAAAGAAACAATAGTTTTTTTATTGGCATTGGCAACAAATAAAACAGAGTACTCTTGAAAGTTCCACTCCATGTGCCAAGTTTCAGTCACTTTTAACTGCAAAATTAGTTTCTCTTGGAACATCTCGAATAAATTTTTTACATTTGGATATCTTAATTATGTTAAATAATTTTAAAAAAATTATACTAAAATTAGCTAATTCCTATGATAATAAGGAAAATCTAAAGTTTTTTTTTTACTAATAATTAAATAAATTTAGACAAAGGAGAGAGGGTGAGAGCGTTTCTTACTAACAATGCCAAAATTCTTTCTTACTAACAATTATGGAGTTTAACTCTTTCCTAATGATTTGACTCACATTATAATAATAAAATGACTCTATCTTCAAGTCAATGCTTAAATCTTGATATTCATTAAGAAACACAAACATTGAATTACTTGTATTAACAAAGTTATTTTTCGTTAAGTTTTACTTGGAACTTAATCTTTTCATATTAACAAAAAAAAAAAAATTATACAAAGTGTTTTGTGTGGTAGTTGTGTTACCTAAGTTAGCTTTGACAACCTCAGAATACGTGTAGTTTCGCTTGCCATGAACAGGATCAGGTGAACGGTAACAATCAGAAAGAAGAGTGGAAGTGAAGTATGTGATAAAAGAGAAGGCAAACAACACTGCAGGACCAGCCACCCAACCCATCTGAGCAATTGCCCATGCAAGAGACAGAACTCCAGAGCCAATCACAGCTGTTATGATGTGGGCACTAGCAGTCACCCATGTCCCTTCAAATTCACCAATCCAAAACACCATATCACATGTAAAATACTAATTCATACAAGTAACTGTTTAAAGACGAAGAAAATAATGTTTCATTAGCATAAGTCACGTTCTGCCAGCATATATTAATATTTAGTTGTCGGCGTTTATTGATGGAAGAAAAAAAAGAAAAAAAAAAAGATGTTTGGGTGTAGTAATTGATGATATGAGTTTATGTGTGAAGTATACAATACCAGTTCTTTTAGTTCGTCCATCTTCGTCGAAGTTTTTGCCAGCATCGGCAAAAGTTTCTGGGGTTTCTATGTGCATGCTGTTCATCTCTGAAACCAACCAGTGGCCTAAGGCCTCTCTGTTTCTATTTGTGAGTGCAAATGTGTTCAGTGGGTGGCCAACACGCAAAAAGAATGGAAAAGAAAATAAAAAGGGGAAAAAAGTGTATGTTTTATATTGGTGTTGTCTTTTGGCTACAGTATATGAGTTTGTGGTGAAAGCCTTAAGGAAGTAGAGATTTTTGAATTGGAAAAAGGAAAAAATGGCATTGGATTAAATAGAGGAGGAGGAGGAGAGGAGTGAGGGATTTTGTTGCTTTGTACTTATGTGGCACATGTATTTTCAAAGATGAATAGGAATTTAATTTACTGATCAAAAAGTGGCTAACTTTAGGAAAAGCAAAGTTGGGAAGAGAAGTGAAAAGGAAAATTCAAAGGTTTTTTTGAGGCGATGATAGGTGAGTAGAAGGAGTGGAATTTTTTTTAGGCATGTGGACCATCAAAGGTGGCAAATTCTTCTCTGGCTGGGGAACCCAAGTGTCCCCTACACTTTGTGATTTTTTGTTTTTGTCCATCCATTTGGAGATTTTATTTTTTTTTGATAGCCACTGGAAATGGGTCTTCCAGAGTGCCACAAATCTATCTGATTAAGACACCATGCTTGCCCTCTCTCCCACTTGATTCCCTTATTTTATCACCATTTTTTTCAATTTTAATCTTATGTGTTTTAAATTGCACTCACACTTTTATGGTGATCCTTAACCATTGCAAGAAATTATGGACTAAAAATCGATAATGTAGTGCATGTTTGGTTTCCGTTTATGATCCTCATCTATATAAAAATTACATAAAAAAAATATGCAAAAGCCACTAAGTGCATATTTGATTTTGCATTAGTAATCCACTTTGGTCCTTAAAACTACATTAAATAAAGTGATGAAGAAACAAATCTGAATTGTTTCTTTTTTTAATTTAAGCCAGAATGTAATTAATGAGGTACAAAACATACCCTAATTGTTGCCTTGAGTGATTTACATCCAACTCAAATTGATGTGAATTCAAACTTCTTCATATAATATTTGAGTTCAAAATATAAGGGTATTGGGATTACAATCTTGGTCGCAATTCGCAAACCAATTTGTTCTTTTGACAACGTTGATTACCAAACAGCGAAGTCAAAGTCATGCAAATTTCGTTTCGCAGTTGTTAAAGTTGACTGAGTTCTCAATTATTTAATTTGTATGATTGAGGCTGTAAAGATATAATCAGGTACACGTCTCTGATATGGTATCATGTCAGCTAAGTACCCCAACATCTTAATGATATAACGTCCATATATTTTAAAATATGGTACTTTGTACAGAAAATTTTGTCTCATTGTTATCTCTCATTCAAAAAAATAATAATAATAAGTTTTAAATACTATTTTTGATTTTTTATGTCTTGACATTTTTATTAAGTGAAAAAATAAAAAGTAATTAAAAATATAATTATAAGTTTTAATATTGACAATATTTAATAATATCTAAATTTTAATTAAAAATATAATTATAAGTTTAGAATATTGACAACATTTAATAATGTCTAAATTTTATATAGAATACTTCAATATTTAATATTTTGAAATAAAAATGTGTGAATTAATAAATTATTAATAAAATATTTTGACAATATTTAATAATATCTAAATTTTAATTAAAAATATAATTATAAGTTTTGAATATTGACAATATTTAGTAACATCTAAATTTTATATAGAATATTTCAGTATTTAATATTTTGAAATAAAAATTTGTGAAGTAATAAATGATTAATAAAAATGTGTGTGTATGTATCTATGTATGTGTCTGTCTGTGTGCATGTGTGTTTGTGTGTATGTGCACGCACGTGTGTATGTGTGTGTGCGTGTAACTTTATAAAAAAAATTGTTTAAATTTATGATGTATATATAAATTATTGTGAGTGACAATTGTCTTTTTAGATGAGTTTGAAGTAGTGATCATGAAAGGTAGTGACACTTACAAAGACTCTCATTATAGAAATATTTAGTGAGAAAGTTAGTTACATAAGTTAGGTCACATTTAAAGATGAAAATAAGTTAGGTTATATTTTAAATATACAAGTTAGATATGTTCTACAAAATTAGGGTTGTCAAAATGGGTTAGTTCGATTCATTTGGCTTGACTCATTTTAACCTACTTTATATGTGAGCTGGTGCAGCCCAGCCCACCTGTGTTAATGCCTAAAATTTTTCGGTTTAGCTTGGACCATCACAGGTTGATGGGCTAAATGGGTTAACCAACCAACCCACTTACTTATAAAAAAAATAAATAAAAATAAATAAAAGCTCCAATTTAAGTTGTTATAAGTTAGTATCAAATTTTATTGAAGTGGTTGTCCATCAATATTAAATTTTATTGGAGGTTTGACTAGATAAATCTATAGTAATTTCATGTTGTTTAACATCAACTTTATCTTCATTTACAAAAAATGGTACTTGCTAAAATAATGTATATATAATAATAAATGGTTAAGTTAATCATTGGTGGGTTAAACTAATGAGAGGTGTAAGTAAGTTAGGTGCGTAGCCTAGTCCACCACGGGTTCAACCAAGGGTGGGTCATGTTGAAAGTGGATTGGGTTGAAGTTTTTGGCCAATTATGAAGTTCTTGGTTTTTTTCTTGCTTTGTCTGGCCCATTTTCAAGGTGGGCCCAAGTTGGCCCACGATCCACAATCCATTTTGATAGTTTTATATAAAATTAAAGCTTAAGTTTGACCTATTATTTATCATAGATTTTTTTATACGTTTAACCTAACATTTTTAAACATCTATTTGAGGGGGTTTAAGGCTGTAATGTTTCATAAGGATGGTTCTAATGCCCCAAGGCCTGACAGGTTTGGTGGTACCTTCTATTAGAGATATTAGGATATAATTGGCCAAGATGTTTTCCAATCCCTTTTTTTATGTAGAATTAGATTCTTCCTAGCCTTAACTTCAATCTAGTTGCACTCATTCCCAAGTTTCCAAAAGTAGACTGATGGAAACCTTCTAGAGAATCCAGATTGATGTTGCCTTCTCCTTCAAGTTTCTCCCTAGACCTTTAGCTTCTTGACACTCTTTAAGCTTCTCCTAAGCCTCCAATGGTTGAGGAAGCTTCGATGTTCACCTTAGAAGGTGAACGACACTTTTCAATTGGTGCCACTCCTTGGAGGAAGATGAACAACTTCAATCCTCATCACACTCTTTATGAAGAGGATAAGAGAATTAAATCAAGATCAAAGAGATTTAAGAATTTTAGGGACAGAGAATTCAGAGAAAGAACTCGGCTATGCTCTCATATAACATCCAAAAGTGTCTACAAAGTGAAGGAAATACCTTATATAAAGAATAGGTAGCTTATGGTGTAAGCTAATCTAACCACGGTTTAAATAGAACCATAGTTAGCCTTCTTACACTTAAGCTAACTATCCTTAGTTACCTTCCTAGAAGCTTGTGGAGCAAGTCAAGCTAACCTTAGTTTAAAAATGACTTAGGTTAGCTTAACTTAGCTCCAATTAACTAACCTAATGATTACTTCTAGTAGTTAGTTGAGATGTCACTTTCAAGGCCATATGGAAGCTTCTCCTACAAGCTTTGGATGTTGGATGGCTTCCTCACCAAGCTTGGATGTCCAAAACACTTGCCTAGGCAAGTGGATGTCCAATCTTGGTATATTTTATAAATCCATTTGGGTCATCCAAGCCCAAACAATCCCATGGTCTTTCTAGTTACACCTCCCCTAAACTACTAATTACACCAAAATACAAGGAACAAAAATCCTACACTACTTGACCCAAAATACAAGGTCCAATGAAGTAAAATACTCCAAGAAACATACCCTAAAATCCTAAGGGTGTGACCTACTAAGAAAAATAAAGATTCCTTATAAATACAAAGGCAAAAATAAGCCTATACAAGTATCTACTATATACAAGGTACAAGAACTCAATCTTCGCAACCGCCGAGGCCCGTTCGGGCCGGTGGCGACATTAGGAAAGCAGTTTCCAGGGCTTCCTCCGCCACATCCACTTATAGCATTGTAAGTGGCTTACTAATAATCATGTCTTCTTCTAGTTGCACGATCAATCTATCATCCACCATAAATTTGATCTTCTGGTGGAGTTTAGAGGGTACAACTTTTGCTTGATGTATCCATGGCCTTTGTAGGAGGCAACTGTAGGTAGGAGTGATATCTATCACTTGGAACTCAATGTTGAAGACAGTGGGTCCTTTTTCGATAGGAAAGTTAACTTCTCCCACTATTTCTCGTCTGTATCCATCGAAGGCTTGAGTGATCATATTTCTCGGGTGCAACTGGATTGCTTTGATCATCAACTTTTTGAATGTGCTCTTGGGAATCACGTTCAAGGAAGATCTGTTATCTACCAAGACTTTGGCAATGAGAAACTCTTTACACTTTACAGAGATATGTAAAGGCTTGTTGTGGTTGATTCCACTAGGCAGAACTTCTTCATCCGTGAATGTAAGGTGATCATTAGCCATGATGTGACTTACGATCCCCTCAAACTTGTCTTGAGATATGTTGTGCGTGACGTAGGCTTCATTGAAGTCCTTTAACAAAGCTTGTCTATGAGGCTTAGAGTTCATGATCAACCAAAGTAGAGTGATCTTCACTGGAGTTCGATTCAACTGATCGATGATGGAGTATTCACTTTGCCTTATGTACTTAAGGAATTCATCCTCCTCCTCAAGTTCTTTTCTTTCTTCAATTTTCTCCTTTTCGTTGGAGGCATTTGCTTGCAACGTGCTAGGAGTGTAGACTCTACCACTCTTAGTCATTCCTCCTATCCCAGTGATGTTGCACGTGTCTTCATCAGATGAAACTTGGATTTCATAGACCTATGACTTGGCATTGTGATAGTCAACTTCTTAGGCGTCCCTTGTCCTTCACCCACATGGATAATTACTTGTTCAATTTTAAGTGCATGCTCTTTTATTGTGTCGAGTTTGTAATTGATAACCAGTGGATTACGATCCATTATTTGATTATTAATGTATAGAGATTAAATTTCTCTTTTTATTGTTATTTATTTATTTACTAGGAAAAAATGCACTAAATGAATGAAAATGCATAATACTAAGACAGTTTGAAAACGACAAATATTATTCTCATTGATTTTTTTTGTGAGTGAAGTCTTTATACAATGCTTTTTAAGAGATTTTGAAAAATTCTCAAAAGCCTGAAGAAGCCCCAAGGTGGTTATTATCTATACAGCT